TTCACAACCTGCAGAACATCTATCTAAGATTTACAACCTGCAGAACATCTATCCAAGATTTACAACCTGCAGGACATCTATCCAAGATTTACAACCTGCAGGACATCTATCCAAGATTTACAACCTGCAGGACATCTATCCAAGATTTACAACCTGCAGGACATCTATCCAAGATTTACAACTTGCCTACTATTTACCTGGGATTCAAGTTTCAAACTTATTTGTTGCTGTCTTTACTGTTTGATCCTCTACATAATCGAAAGACTTACCTTCAAAGCTTTCTCCTCTTTGCTTTCAGTTTTAGCTTTTTTAGCAGCAGTTCCTGCCTGGGCTGCAGCTTTTCGTTTTCTGTACAAGTGTGAAATAAAAATGCAAGGAAACAAAAGTTTTAGCAAGTCTGAATGTGTAATAGTTTATAATCACACATTAAGACATTTGAATTACTCTCTCCCACTGGGCTTTCATTTATCTTCATGTAAAACAATACCATTTACATAAATTGTCATAAGATCACCAATAACAATATCCATCAAAATCGGCTTTGAGTAAACTTTCTCCAGTTGCCAGGGTGAATTACTTTTAGATTTGGTTACAGAAAATGTTGTTCATTTCACCACCAATTGCTACAACAAATCCCAAACCACAAATTTGAGAATATGGTTATCTTTTAAAAACTTGATAATATCACCCTCAAAAATGTTAATTAAACAAATATAAGTAAAATGTATATTTAATATGTCTCTGGAAATTCTAGGATCTGTGATAAAAAATCTTTGAAAAGGTGTTTTTTAATGAAGTAATAAACATGCGGGTAATAAAAGAATACATCTGCTCGTTTTGTGCATAAAATTGTGTTTTTTACAAGAACAAAACGGAGGCAATGTTTCCAGACTAGGAAGGCTGAATGACCCACAAAATAATATAAAGGTAACTGACCAATCACAGCCTAAGAGACTTACACGTCTTTCAACACAAGTTTCTTGAGGACAATATCTTTATCTTCTTTCTTAAGACAACTGAAACCTTGAATCTTCTTCACATCGTATTCTTTTTTCCATCCAAACTCAACAAGTTTCATGGGGTCACAGAAACAATCCAAGTGGTGCCAATTTTCAATGATTTTGTCATGGGGATCTGTTTCTGAAATTGCAATCCGAAGTTCATCCTGTTGAAAGGTATAAATGACTGTATAAGCTGCAGTTATTGAATGGACTATGGTCATGCCTGTTTAATTTCGATTATGCAGAATGACAGGTCATCAAAATAAGTAGAATATGCAAAAAAGATGGCTGTGACACATTGGGTTTGATGTGCCAGTTACATGTTTTTTTTACACAAAATTTTAACATGATGTTACAACTACCACCCTATAATTAATATGAGAATTAAGCTAATAAATATGCAAGGATTACTATAATCATATCTTACATTTGTCTATATTATTGATGATTGAGTAACTGTATGAATCCAGAGATATGCAAATTAGCTGAATAATATGTACAAATTTATACCAAATACTAATCTGACTTCAAGTATCCATATTATCTGTTTTTTACTGCTAATGACAAAAAATACCTTTGCTATTTTCTCTTTACAAGCTCTACAAGTACTTCTGTTTGATTTGGCATACTCCATACTGAAATCACTTGTTGTAGTTTCTTTTGAGACTACCTTGTCCTCCACAGATTCCTTAGTTTCATCTCCGGCAATCTTGTTTCTAATCTTCTCCTGGTCAGTCCATCTCAGCCCATCATAGCCAACTGAAAAGACACATCTCCACTATTAAGGGCAGAAATGACAATTCAACTTCCTTGGTAACACATTATGGATGATGTCATAAAAAATTATATGACATCAGAATGGACATATCATCATAACAAATTATTTCTTTTAATTGTTTTGGGAATGAGTGAGAAACAACTAGAATTCATAAATTGATTCATAAATTGATTCATAATTGATTCATACTATAATGAAATGAAATATTTGCATTCAAGAAAATTAAGCGGTCAACCAACAGTGTCACCAGTGCAATTTTTTGTTTGCAGTGTTTTGTTCTAACATTTTTTATTTTATTTTTTTAATATTCCAACATATGTTCCCTGCAGAACCTAGCAATAATTTTTTTTCATTGCGTCCAATTTTAAATTGCTTTTTGCAACTCATCTTCCAGCCACTCCCATGATTTAAATTGGTTGACTCCTAAATTGAGTTAGTGTCAATGCCTAGTACATATATATATCTATGTTCAAGTGTCTCACCTATTTCAGATGTAGCTTTGACTTCCGCCATTTTCCAGAAGCAGGAATAGTGGTACCATGTAGGTACTTTGCCATCAAAAAATGGTGACTGTAAACAACAACGTTAATGTTAAAGCGAGAGGGTCATCACCTGCGCATGTGCAGGAATTGAGTCCCAAGTGACGATAACAACAGACGTTTGTTTGAAACAATGACACGCTATGGCCATCTGACACATGTGCAGGCAACGACTCCCCCCACTTTAATGCAACTTTTTGTATTTTTTATATATTTTTGTATAATTTTTTTGTTCATTTGGAACAGTTTACTAGTACATGTATTTGAGAAAGTGTAGGAGAGAAAAATAATTAATATGCCCACAAAAAAAGTTGAAAACAAACTTTAATTGGACAATGACCGAAAACAAATATGTGATAAAAAAAATCTCACACACATTCAATAAAAGTCAGAACAAATTACACCAATGTCATCTGCCAGAAATTTGCATAGTTTTTCTCCCCTCCAAGAGTTTCTAATGGTCATCCCTTTAAACATAGCAGTGAAACTTCAACAATGATAAGGGCTTTGTTATCAGGGCTAGACCATCCAACATCTAAGGGGAGGTGAAAACAATGCAATTTTTCAAAATGGTCAATCGTTCAGCTGTACCCCCCCCCCCCAGATTCAGCCCTTACTGAATGGATTGATCCATTATTTCTGCTAGGGGAAAGGAGGCTACAATTGTTCAAGATTACTTGTTCTTCCATGGGTAATGTGACAATGGGTCTAGACTACATTCTGTATATGATCGTGGGATTGTGAGAAATTGTTGGTGTAGTCCGGGGGTGTAGTCAGAGTTGTTGGATTCCAGACCAGGGTTGCTGTCACTTTGTTTTCAGAGGATTATGTACTATGCAGCTTGTTTCCTGTTTTGTTTAAAGTTTCTAGTCTTTACTGCCCACGGTAAAAATAACGGCCCACCCCTAAATAGTTCATAGAGATTCTCTGCAGTTATGAATGTCACCAGTACACACTGATCCCCTCTTTACTTCAGAATGCCCAGGTCAAAGCGGACCCTCCCCCGTGCCGCCGCCACTGTTACTACCGGGAGTATTTCTTGTGAACAATATATGTGACTAAAAGAATGTTAGTAGGACAATGTACATAACATTATGTCTTGGACATCTCAAATAAGGACAGGCCATAGTGGGCCCAACAGCTCAAATAATGACATGCGGACACAACAGCAAACAACCAGCTCAAAACAGAACTGCAAATGAAAAACGAAAGTAGTTTCAACTATGGCATTATGACAAGCGTTGCGTAGTAACAATGTTGTTGTCATTATCTGAGCGTCTATTTTTAAACGCGGTATGCCTTCGTATTCGATACAATGATTTCCCGCGGTCTGTGTATATGTATTAGTGTCCACTGCGGGGCCTGAGCTACGGGTACACTGGGGGTGGGCGTGTCGGGCTAAGACGTGACCTCGGTGTCAGGACAACCTCTGTCAGTGAGGACATTGTTTTTTTAAGCACCTACCTGCATCATCTTCGCCAGCCTCACGGAACCCTTTTTAATACCACCGCGGCATTTTTTACAAGAAGAACGGTCACTTTTGGCGTATTCAGCCTTGAAGGGGAAGTCAGAATCAGACATGTTGGGTGACTTGATCGACTCTGATATTCGCACAATCCGGGACACGCAACGCCGCTTTATATACAGTCTGCCACTGAGGTCAGGGAACACCGAGAGTCAGCAGTTTCGTGTTTGGGCGCACACCACTATTTTGTAGGGAGGTGCCGCTCATCGTAAAGCAATTCCGGCGCACTATTACTTATTTGTGAAATTTCCGATTATTGTTTTAAGAACAAAACATTCTGTGTGTACAATGCGATAATTTTGCGTCACATATAGTACACGCGGCGGATGTCAAGTCTTGTCGTCCATCGCCGTTGTCAGCACGATTGTGTAATGGTTGTTTACCAATGACTCACGCCGTACAAGAACAAACTTGTTTTACTTTCCTCAAGGCGGGTTGTTGTGTATCATACAATTTAGCATTTACTAGTACATTACAGCGAGGAACTATTAGTGGTTTGTGCATTTTGACGGTTCTTCATGGGGAGGGGATCTGAAACTGTGTATTATTATTGCAATAATACATACCCCATGCAAGTTTTATCGAACGGGACCCTACAAAATGCAAATGTTGTGAACGGACTGACATTCTCTGTATTTGCCTATTTGATCCAGAACCGTAATGGCGGACAGAATTGTGATGAAAAGTTATGTCGCCAATTAGTTTCATTTAGTTCCGAATAAATAAAGTCTGTTTGGAATTTTTATGGAACAACCTTGACACTCGGATTATTAATTGTTAGAATAAAAAAGAAAAGTTGTTATTGTAAACCAAATTGAAAATGAGGTGTATCAAGTCATCATACTGTTCAACGAAATACTTCCATGCACGGCCAAAGAGGGTCCCTAATATAAACTTACCAAGAGTATTTGAGGCACCCAAGATGTTTATAAATTATAATTCAAAATGAACACGTAGTACGGGTGGGTATATAGCGGTTACCAGTGTCCGCCCGTACGTCTACACGGAGTCGTGTCGGGAGCACAATTGCTGATAGAGACATTTACATAGTGGTATATTGAAGACATTGGACACTTATCTGATCAACATATTTAATGACCATATATGGAATATGACCACATTAAACTATAAAGATTCGAACTCATCTCTTTTTACCTCCATGATATGATTAACATATTTACTAACCACATATGGTCATGTGACCTCATTAAAATGCATAACTATTATAAATGAAACACTTTTGCAGATAGAGATATTCAACCAGTACATTTTATAAAGATATCATGATCTACCATCTCCGATGGCTTTCTGAGTACAATTTCTATGTTCCCATTTTTGCCGTGTTGATGTAATGTGTGATATATCATGACATTGAACTCGTGTATATGTAATAAGGAATGGGTTTAACTTGGGAATTTGTTTCAAGGGTAGGTTTTTGAGAAATTTTGTCTCCCGGAGTAGTGATTTGCCCCAAGAGTTGGTGGTACATTGCTTACCCGTATATTTTGCTGAATTTTTGAGAAAATTATAATCATTGACGAATTTCAGAGACACCTGACCTGCCATAGTAGCAGCAAGAGGGCATCGAGCCCTCAAGGATGTGAACATATTTATACTTACTATAGGTAGTCTAGTTACGAACTATATCGGGATATCTATATCAATGTAAATGTTTTAGAACCCATGTTTTCCTCCAGGTATATACTATGCGGGTCATGAGAAAAAAATACCGTGACTAATTCGAGACACTAGAAAACAAAATGAAAAAAATCACTCCTTGATTTCATTGCCTTTTTATTTCATTTCATGTTACTGTTTTGGAGTACCTTAACAGAGTCCGATTTCATTAATTTTCTGTATATTCTGTATCACTTCTTGATTTCATTGCCTTTTTATTTCATTTCATTTTCTGTTTTGGAGTACCTTAACAGAGGCTGATTTCATTAATTTTCTGTATATTCTGTATCACTTCTTGATTTCATTGCCTTTTTATTTCATTTCATTTTTCTGTTTTGGAGTACCTTAACAGAGTTCGATTTCATTAATTTTCTGTATTTTTGGAGCGTTGGCACACACCAAAAATACTTCGCAAACTATGATACAGTAAGCACATTTCACATATGTAAATTTACCTTCCTCATCTCTAAATCTATGGTTGAAGCATCTGACACGAACTAAGGCACACCTGTGCTCCACCACTTCAGGCCAGACTTCTATTTTCCCTTGTTTCGCAAACCCGCCGAATGAACAGAAGCCGAAAATGAAATAAAAATAAAATTTTATTTCAGCGTAATTTCTCGCGTCCGCCGACTTGTAATCGCAAAAAATTGCTTAAAAATATTATTTTTATTTTCATTTTTTACCGCCCGCCGCATACCAAATCCAAGTTGCATTTTCGTGGGAGTATCATGATCAAAGTACGGAAGTCTCGCGCAGATGAGAAACAAGGTTATACATAAAATTTGATTTCATTTCTTCTCTCCGATCAATGATCTGACTTACAATTCTTTGAGAATCACACAAATCTAATGGAAAAAAAGAATTAATTTTTTTTCCGCCCTCCTCAAAAAATTGCCTTATAACTTGAAAAACTCGAGAAACATGGAATAAATATATATATATTACCTTATATATAAATAGTATATATATATATATATATATATATATATATATATATATATATATATATATATATATATACATCTAACACTAAGCCGGGGTATTTGAAACCGAAATTGTCATCTAAGCGTTAGGCCGTCGCTGATTGGCTGCTGTGCTGGAATGCCAATTTTTAGTTTCAAATACCCCGGCTTAGTGTTCTAGGTTCTTCGCGTAATTAGGTGTTCGTATGCAAGGGATTTTTCCACACAAAAACGACGAATTCGGTCGAATTTTGTTATCGGTTGGCTTAATATAACCCCAACGGACCGTATTTTTGTGAAAGATTGGTATTTTTGTCCTGATTTGTAGGAATCTGAAAAACGCGTTTCACAACTTGTCTC